TGTACAAAACGAAAACAAAACCATAAATTGTCAAAAATACTAAAACAAAGGGTAAAAGATCTTTACATTTGTATATTTGCCTCATAAAAAGTGATTTTGATCATTTGTAACATGAATCCACCAAGCAGGGTAACCTGCAAAAGCAGGAACCTGACATCACCACAGCTCATATACTATCCAACATAAGCTCATTGGCAATAACAAAATTAAAAGACAAGTTAATATTTAAATTTTCACCATTCAAAATCAAATTCATTTACAATCAATCCGTATAGGTATAATGATGAATGTCTTACAAACGTCCAATCACTGACTGTAAACACATTCAAAATTAACAATTAAAGCAGAGTTACATAACTTAAATTAAAAAAGATTCAAGTCTAGGCTCAAATATGAGACAACTTTATCAATGAAGAATTTTCCAAAGCATAACTTGCATAATTAAGTTGATCTAACAATCATCACGACCCACTAAAATAATTAACTAAAAAAAGCCTTGAAGAATTGCCCTAAGTTGATTTCAAGACCATACGTGTAATTACAACTCACACTTCCAAGAACTAATTGGCAATACCAAAACAAAGAAAAAGACTCGACATAAAACCAAACAAATAAGACATTGTTATTGCTAAAGAAATATTTATCTTAAAAATAACCAGCCCAATCTTATGAGTTGAAAATAGAAAATACAACAAAACATGAAAAGTTTACTTGTTGGCCAAAGTAAGACGATCGATAAATTACCTTTCAATTAAGATTCAGACGGAGATCGATAACTCTTTGTGCTTCCAAGTGTAGAGCCTTGCCAAAACCCAAAAATTAATGTATGACCTGAGTTCAAAAATCTTAAAAAGCGGCCGTAAGTATTACATGTAATATTTGATTAAAATCAACAAACGGAGGTTAAAATACTAAAAAAGAGATCAATTATCAGAAACAAATTTTTCCTTAAAAAGTTAAAAAAATAAACATGAACAGACCTAGCACTAAAGCTACCCATATTTAAACAAATTTTTTTTAAAAAAAAAAAAATCGAATAGAAAGAGGAAATGATCTCAAAATATGAGTTACAAAATAAATAAGTAAATAAATAAATAATGTAAGATGAGTATATCATAAAAACATAAAGATACTACCTAAGTTCCTTTTGTTACATCAACTGTAAAGCCCTCCTTAAACCAAGCAACTCCAATCTACCACTATTATTATTGGTATTATTATTGGTCAGCAACCTCAAAAGAACGAAGAAGAAATAACACAATGTTAAAAATACACAACCTCTGGAATCTTATGTTTATAATTTTGAAACGAATAAATGTATGAATATTTGGAAAAGTAAGCACTATTGGTGTGAAGAAACAAGATTAAAATTTAGTTCATAGTCTAAACCCCTGCAAGAAGCACAATCTATTATTAATATTAAACATTCAAAAGGATTCCACATGAGCTACTCTGTATGGTAAGGAATTTATAGAATATTGAGAACATTTCTAACAGTATGAAATCAATTGCATTATCAGAAACTCACCAATTCGAATTCATATTGTGAAGAGACAAATGGTAATTAATACACAGTTAAGAGGACTATAAATTCCTTATACATGCTACGAAAGCTTTCGCTGGACCCTTAAATTTGGAGTATAAATCTTAATTCGTACATAAAATTATCCATTTAATTGACTTCTTACGTAATATACGGAGATTTAGAACTATAGTTGAAACTACCCATGAAACTATTATATCATTCATTAAGATAAAACCTTAAGAAATGCACTTTTGGATCCTACCTGCTTGATCGCGTTCCTGATGTGGAGCCCCTCAACAACCTGATTGAACACCACCGTCTTGTCATTGAGTGACTCAATTTGGGGGTGATGATAAAGAACTGTTGGCTCGATGGATTTCACCTCGCCCTTAGGCCTTCACGCCTGCCTTTGTGAATGAAGAGAAACTCGATTAGGATTTCGTTAAAAGAGACAAAAACAATCCTAATGTACATTAATATATTTACATTTGTATTTTCATGTTAATACTAAATTATGAAAATTTGAGAATCAGAGCAAAATTCATTTAAAATATCTTCTTGAAAATGTTGAGTTGGTGACAATTTGGAAAATAAGCCTCATTTTAACTATTGATGCTCCCTAGTTTAAACAAAAAATGACACAAAAGTCATCCCAAAATCCAGAGAAGCAAACATATCTATATATAATTATCTTCTACTCTTAACTACATGAAAAAAAGATAAATATACGTGTAAAAATAAAAGTAGTTTTCGTGTAGTTGTTTTTTTTTTAATGCATACTGCCGACTTTAAGTATGAGCCTTTTGTATTTCATTTCAGCTTTAATACATAGTTATGATTCAACCTCAATGTCTAGTAGATGTGATACTTTTTTTCTATTACTTAATTGTAGAGTAATATAAATTAGTTCTGATTTCATTTTCAGTTATGATTTGTCTTCTATTTTCAGGTTTCTATGTAGTTGCAGCAAGCTGTCCATCAAGAAACTATACACACATTATTGTGGCAGTGACAACTAACTTTGGCAATTTAATTCTTCCATGAGAAAACCATTGAGAAACATATCTTAATATTCAAAGCAACTCATTGTCAGAGCACATAGTATTAAGTACCTGGGAAACAAAAGAAGACAATAGCTTGAATCAAAATTAACATTGTCCTTGGTCCGGACAGAGTTTCAAAAGTCACACTGATTGCTGAAGATTCTTCAAGCGCCCAATTGGAAGGTTCGTTCAGCATTGATGCTTATGGAAGCATTTCTCAAGCACTGTAATGAGCACTCGATTTGAGCTTCTTGGCTTTATTCCGTTTACTCACGGCCTGGAACATTTTTCAAGCATTAGAAAAGTCAGATTTGAGGAGAGTACCATTCGTAGTAATTATGCAAGAATCATTGATGTTAAGATGGTGGTTTCCAGTATAGGAAAAAGGAACCATGCTGATAAAGATATCTATCTTAATGGCTTAAGCTACAAATCAATTATATATATTTTAAATTTATAAGTAAAATATTTTTAATAGAAAGTTCTTGTACCAATATACATAAAAAAAAATATTTCCAAACTCGAACAAGTTCAAATAAATTGAACTCCATATAATTGATATGTTGTAAGCTTTTTACTAAATTATTCAAACTCGAACAAACTCAAACTTTGACAAACAACTAAACAAACGAAGTAAAACCCAAATTTTGGCTTGAATGACAAACGAACAACACAAACAATGTTCGAACATAATCAAACACAAGCGCAAAGTGCTCAGTCCTGGATCATTCGGCTCGATTACAACACTAGCATTAATCTTCCTAACAATGCAAAAAACAAACCTTCATGAAGTCTTCGTGAATGACATAATCACGTTCCGCCCGAATCTCAGACATTCTGGCTTCAGTGCCAGATATTACGAAGGTCAGCACCATTAAATCCCAGTACAAAATTGTTTGAAAAATATAAATAAGTAAATAAATAATCAATATTTTTGTGTTTTTGTAGAGTTGATAAAAGCCTTTTCTAGGTTACCTCAAAGCCTCGTAATCAATTTCACCATGCTTAGCTGTACCAGCAGCGTGGATTTTTAGAATCTCCAATCTCGACTGCACATTGGGCAATGGAATTTCAATTTTCCTATCTAAGCGACCCAGACGAAGAAGTGCAGGGTCCAGAACATCAGGCCTGTTCGTCACCATTATCAATTTTCCTGGGCACAAATCAATAATAATTCAGAACACATCACAAAACCATAGTGTGCTGTGCAACTTTACACGAACATGCTCAAATGAGCTGGTCAAACCCATCAAGCTGGTTTAACAACTCCATGAGTGTCCTTTGGATTTCACGGTCAGCACTTGTTCCCTCACTAAAACGGCATCCTCCAATGGCATCAATCTCGACCATAAATATGATGCAGGGCTTCAGAATAAGGAAGATAGATATTCTTTTGAAATCAAATTTTATAAAAGGACAACAAAAACAAATAAGTAAACTTCATGTGATAAAACTTACTTGGTGATCACTGGCATAGCCAAACATTTCTCTGATCTATCTAGCACTCTCCCCTATGTACTTGTCGATTATAGCACTCGACACGACCTGCATTAGTCAGTTATTATTCAAATAAGCTACATGTGATAAAACAAAAGACTATACATGGAGTTTTCCCCGTCTTACCTTTAGGAAATTGGCATCTATGTTGCTAGCAATTGCTTGGTCACAAGAAGCTTCACAGAAGAGTAATAAATATCGACAAAAAAATAAGTGAATGATGGCCATTTAAAGAGACTACAACACTAATAAATAAGTCTCAGGTTTGGACACAAATAACAAAAAAGCAGTAGATTTGTTCAATTGAACACCCTTCTTTTGTTGCTAAAGCAAACAGGAAAGAAAAATTAATAATAAAATAGTGGTTGAAGAAGTCCAAGTTCGGGTGTTGCTTCTTCACGGCCTAACTGCATCATTGTACCTTTCCTTGTAGTCCTTCTATTATATCCTCGAGATGCAAAATGGCGTTAAGGGATCGGAAGACACACAATCGAGCATAAGGACGTCTCATAAGCGTGCATACACTCATCTCCTCAAGCTTGAGGTCCGCCTCGGAACTCATACCAGACTTGAGCCTTTTGTGTCATCTTGTCCTTACGTCCCCTGCTCCCATCCTTATGTCTTTTTTCTCGAATGACTCCCACCCTTATGTCTTTTTTCTCGAATGTCCCATTTCCTCAAAGTTTGTGGTTGTATTTGTGCTTTCTTCAAGGATAACCAAATGTTGGGGTTGCACTAGGCTCTTCTTTGCACTATCTAAAAAATGGCTCAGATGAAAAACACGTTGATCATCATACTTGATTTCATCAACTATCGTACCTTATTGAACTCACTACACGTCGAAAGAATTTACTTTTTGTAAGTTAGCTTCCAACAAAAAAAAAAATACATTATGATTTAAAAAACAAAATTAAGAGGAAAACTTACTAGAAAAATTCTCTCACTCATTATATAATGTTTCTAACTAGTATAAGTTCAGGGAGCCCATATGAAAACACAAATATGGTGTACTCGATCATATAAAGCATAAACATACTTCACAACATATTGTCATTGAGATAATGAGTTGACATTATCTGTGAGAACATTATCCTATAATAATAAGTGAGAAAATTACACAATATCCAAAATGAAAACTTGAACTTGGTATGTGAAAATTATTCTCCCACTGTCCGGTGGCCCGAACCACCCACGAGCCAATACAGAAAACGAGCAAACGAAGGTCAAGTAACAACCGGTCAGATTACGATTTCAACAGCCACCTGAGTGTCAAAACAAGACGACCATAGAAAGTTGCTCCTGAGTCATGCGTCGAGAACAACACTGATATGTGCATCTGTAGGTTTTTTTTGTTCAATATTCACAATATAAAGTACAACCCATAGCCATGTGGTATAAAACACACATTACACATGCAGGTACATATACGTTAGGCAGAAAATTTCATAGAAGCATTGGCTTGCAATTAATTCTAAAGGGGTTCCCTTACATGAACAGAAGTCGAAAGATAATTTCATAGAAGCATTTTCTTGCAATTAATTCCAAAGGGTTTCCTCCCTTACATGAACAGAAGTCAACATGATAAACCAAAAAAATATGAACAGTTCCTCAGTTCCTCATGGCTTCGACTGACCCAAGTCCAAGTTCGGGTGATGCTTGCTCATGGCCTCAACTTGCTTCCTCATGGCCTCAACTACATCATTGTACCATTCCTTATAGTCTTTTCTCTCTATCACATCTTCGAGGTGCAAATGGCGTTAAGGGATTGGAAGGCAGCCGATCGAACAAGCCCCATGAGTGTAGATACACTCTTATCCTCAAGATTGAGGTCCGAGTCCGAATCAAACTGGACCTCGTGACTCGGGCCTTTTGTGTCATCATGTCCTTGAACGTGCTCCCGCCCTCGTGTTTCGACTTTTTGCTCGACTGACTTTTCCTCGGAACCGGTGGTTATATTCTTCCTTTTTCTCAAAGATAACCAAAGACTGGTGCTCCACATGGCCCTTTTTTGCACAATCTAAAATATGCCCAGATGGTGCTTTCCGAAATCATCCTCATACTTCATTTCATCCCCTTGCTGTCGTACCTTATTGAACTCACTGCATGTCGGGAGAATGTCAGTTAGAAGAAAGAAAAAAAAAATACATTATGATTTTATAAACTAAATTAAGAGGGAAAACTTACTTGTAGAAGGTTTCCTTCACTTGCGACATAATGTTTCTAGTCACTTCAAGTTCAGAGAGTCGATGTATAGAAACACAAATTTATTAATGATTGAGCTACATAATAATAAGAAAAAAAAAAGTTAATTATGCTCATTAGGTCAAAGTAAAATGACAAACCTGAGAGTGAATCTCATAGGGAAAAAAAGGGATAAACAGAGTGTACTCGATCGTGGTCGTCACTGAGCGACGCATCCATACAATCATCGAGTACGAGGGTGTAGTCTGAGAGGCAACTGGCACGAGATACAACTTGTTCAATCGACTTCTTGACACCCCTTCCAACACAAATCACTTCGTCTGTCACCTCAGCCGCAGGGATCAGACGTGAATCGGGATCTAATATTCTCCACATCAGCAACGCATACTCCCTCTCCGCAGTCGTGCAGACGAATACCTTAAAACGCATCTTGTGTTCGCTCTAACGTATGAAGTCCCGCAGCAC